GTACAGGCAGCAGTTTGCCAGAGAGAATCTGGAAAAGAGACTTCCAGAAAAAGAGAAGATGTTGACCAAATCTCGGCTGTTAAAATCCCCAAATTCCAAAAGCATGAGTATTGAAGTCAGAGTAACTGGTTTGAATACAATCTCTACTATTTAGTCCTCCAATGAGGTGGACTAATCCAGTACTCTCCGAGCCTTAGTATCTTCACCTGTGCAATGGGGATAATCGTAGGTATCTGACAGCAACATACTGAGGACAAAATGAGACACAGTCTGTGCAAACATTGTATAGGCTACAGAAAGTGCTATCCATGCAGACACTCGTCACTCATATCATCATTGTTAGTGCTGTTATTATTAGTCATTAATTCAGTGTCAGGGGCTCGGCTGGAAACTGAAGATTCAGAGATGAATAAAATGGAGCCCTGCCCTCAGAGTGATCACAGCCTAATGATAATAATTCACACTCGTGCAGGGCTTCTTATGTGCCACACTCTATTGCCAGCACTCTACACGTATTAGCTCATTTCATCCTCACAACCACCTGAGAAGCAGGTGCCATGATTATTCTCATTTTGCAGATAGGGAAACTGAAGCACAGAGGGGTTAAGAAACTTGTGCAAAGCCCCACAGCCGATGGGTGGTAGCGCCCAGTGTGAACCCGGGTGAGGTGTCTCCAGAACACCCCATACACGGAGATGGACAGTGAAGAGGCAACCATAGTACAATGTCAGAAGTGCTGTGAGTCTGTTATGATACAGTAAGTGCACTTGGTGTCCTGGGGGAAAAGAGGGGGTGAGTTGAATGAAGGGAGGGGGAGTTGTTAGCAAAGCCTTCTTAGAGGAGATGTTCCCTGAGCTGCGTTCTGGCTAGGAGATGGGGAAAGATGTCCCCGGCAAGAGGAGCATATGAACGAAGACCCTGAGGGGTGAGAGCAGAGCTCTGTCCTTCAGTGTGAGAGGGACAGAGAGAGAAAAATGGGAGGGAGGATAATATGGCTGGAGAGGTGGGTAGGAGCCAGGTCCTGAAGGGCCTTGGGTGCCATGCTAAGGAGCCCAACTGTCTTCTGAGGGCAGCAGAGATTTGCACGGGAAGGCTCGCTCTGACTGCAGTGTGAGGCACAAATTGAGAGAGTGGAGTATGGGCCACAGCTAAGGGCAGAGAGACAGTCTGGGGGCTGCCGCGGAAGTCTAGCTGCTATTTCGGGTGTCTGAAAGCAGACGGCGCCAGTGGGGACGGAAAGTTTGAGAATCATTAAGATATAGAGACAGATGAAAGAGGAAGAGGAAGAGGAATCAAGAGTGACTGCTGGGTTCTGGCCTGGATGACTGGGTGGGTGAGGGCAGCACGCCCCGGGGCCCGAGGAGGAAGACCTGGGAAGTACTAACATTTAAGGAAGGGCATCAGAAGCAAAGCCCGGAGAAAACTGACGAAGAGTGAGCAGAGGGGAAGGAGGAAAACAAGAATACAAGGCCCAAGAATACAAGAGAATTTGAAGGGCGAAGGGTTTAGGCTAGACACCAAGAACTCACGTCCTACAGAGCTCTGAGTACTTCAACCCAGGCTTAGATATCTAAAGGACAGGGCTTTTCCTTGTGATTCAAAAGTCCTTCTTTTCTGTCTCATTTTTTCCCAGCCTTCATTTTCCAAGATTTCACATTTCACTGTCCCACACATTTAGTACTGTTTAATTAATTTCTCAATATCTTTGTCTACTCGTTACTGCTCTCTGTACACATAGACATAATAGGATGAAGGAGGAGGTTCTGCTGATCGGTATTTGTAATGTGCTGAGACTGATGAATGAACGGATAAATACACCATCCCATCATCAATAATAATAGCAACCCCTATTATTAAACGGGAGTCTCATCTCCCGTTTATTGAGCATCTATTATGTACCAGGTGTTCTGTTATGAGTTCTATAAACGGGGCCAATAAACAGAGTAGAAACGACATTTCTCTTTTACAGAGGGAGAAGCTAAGGCTCGGAGAAGTTAAGTGAGCAGCTGAAGATCACACAGTAAAAAATAAATAGCAATGGGATGAATGTGTGCTACCCACCAAGGGTAGAGCCTTCAGGCAGCCCTTGAAAATGTATCTGCATCTAAACGACTGACTTCCTTGATATCCTTGTTATGATTTGTGGGGAGAGGAGGAGTTATGTGTGGGAAGTAGAGTGGGGAGGGGGCAGAGTAAAGGAAACAGAATTAAGTGGATTCGGGTGGGGAATCACTGTTCCCAAGCCCAATATTATAAGCTGTTAGCCGTGCCCTCAAACACTCAGTCTCGCACAGTCTCTTTCAGAAACGAATAAGCACCTGGATGGTTTTTCATGCTTGCCATAGAGACTTAGCCAAAGAAACAGAACACACTGATACAAAAACTTCTGGCCAGCTTTTCTTCAAGAATATAGCTTACATATCATTTGTTCACATAACAGATATTTACCAAGCACCTGCTGGATGCCATCACTGGGCTAGGTCCTAGGGATACATGGAGAACACAGTCAACCACACCAGTGCGAGAGAGAAGAATAGAGGGCGCTCTCCTTGAGTATCTTTGTGGAGGGGACTTGAAGGATGGGAGGCACGGGAGGAGGCAGAGGGTGGCTTGCGTAAAGCTCTCTTGCTCTCACATTGTGCTGTGTGTTCACCATGCCTCCCCCTCTTTGTCTTGCAAGCTCTAACTCACCCCTAGAATTTGGGAAATCTTGCTTGGCCTGAGCTCCCTGGCTCGCTTACAGAGCTTCCTGTGGGCTTCTTCTGCACCCCTTGCACATGTCTGTAAGAACAAGTATCAGCAGGCAGCCCAGCCTGTGTCCCCCGCGAGTCTGAGCTCTCTGCAAGAAGGGGAGGAGATGTTTAGCTCCATGTCCCCTGTGCGGCACAGAGTAGGTCCTCAATAAATGCCGCGGAATACCTGTAGCATGCTGGAGTAGATTTCTAAGGATACATCAGTACCCTTTGGGTAGTCCTGGGCAACTCTGCCCGTCTAACCACTTTACAGTTCCTTTTGGGAAAGGTAGTTGCAGGTAGTAGAAAGATGGGAGGCCCAGGCTCTGCTAGAATGACTTGAGCATATCACTTAAGGTTTTGTTTTCCTCCCTTACCAAATGACAAAGTTAGATCAGCGCTGTGGGTTGGGATAATATACAACTTGTTAAAGTCCATGAGTAGGGTTGTTTGTGCTAGACAGTCCAAGGTTAACCTACATCCTGTAGTTAAGATGGAGCAAAGAGAGATCTTCTAGAAGGAAGGTAACAAGCTCATTTGGTCTTTATTTTAGTTAACTCTGACCTGTAATTCTGTGACATAGCGTTGCCTGTGTCTGCGATTCACTTGAAGCTTAATTTTTCAACAGGAACACAGTCCAAAGTACATGGCATAGAATACAGTGGTAGCTAAAATAATAGTATTTAACATTTATGGAGAAGTTTAATTTTTGAGCAGGTAAAATGATCACATGGCTCAAAAACGAAAATGATATGAAAAGATGTACATTGAGAACTTTGCCCCCGCCCGTGCTTATATCTGCCTCATTTCATACCTCTGCTCTCTGCCCCCATGAGTCACCAGAGTCATTAATTTCTTGTCTGTCCTTCCTTGCAAGCGTGTGTGAAATTTTGTCAAATATATCTTCAGTATCTATAGAGATGATCATATGATTTTTCTCCTTAGATCTATTTTGATGAACTGTCTTTGAATTCTTAGAATGAGCTGCACTTGGTCATGAAGTATTATTCTTTTACTATGCTGCTGCATTCTGATTGCTAATATTTTATTTAGGATTTATGCATCAATTTTCATCTGTGAGATTCATTTATTGTTTCTTTTTTGGACAGCCTTTGTTATCAATGTTATCCTTGCTGGATAAAAAGAATTTGGAAGTTGTCCTTTGTCTGTGCTCTGAAATATTTTAAATAGTATTGGAATCATCCATCCTTTAAAGGTTTGGTTAAATTTGCCTGGGAAATTTCTAGTCCTGGTGCTTTTAAAAAATTAACTTGACAATTTTCCCTAACCTATGAAAATTTCTCTTTTAGATGTTCTGAAGTTGGTTTCAGCAAATTATATTCCTAAAAAAGTATCCATATCTTTCAGATTTGTAAATTTAGATACATAAATTTGTGCAAAATTGTTTTTAAAATTTCCTTGATTTCAGCTTTATTTTATTCTTGTCATTTGTTATTTTTTGTGTTTGTTCTTTCTTCCTTGATTTCTGAGAAGGCTAATCTGTTTTACTGATTGTGCCTCAATGACCCAGTTATTCATGTATTTACCTTGTTTTCTCTTGTTATCTAATTCATTAATTCCTTTTATTTTAATTTTATTTCTTCTGCTTTCCTTTGGTTTATTTTGTTATAATTTTTTCTAACTTTTTAAGTTGATTCTTAATTCATCCAATTTCATTCTTTTTATTTTTTATGTAAAGATTCCCTTTATATTTTAGGCTATGACATTTCCTATGAGTACTGCTTTAGTTCTACCCTCTAGATTCAGAAACTAATATGTAGTATTTTTATTATCATTAGTTTTTAGAAATTCTGCAATTTGGATGTGTACTTTTCCTTTAACCCAAAGTTGTTTAAATGACAACTTTCTTAAAATTCTGATTTTTTTAAATTAATTTTTAATTTTACTGCACTATGAACAGAAAACGATGTCTACTTTATCTCTACTTTTTGGAATTTATTGTGATTTCCTTTGTGGTGATCAACAGTACAGTCAACTATTGTGGCTGTTCCATGGGCACTCGAAGCAAAAATACATTCCCTTACACTAACAACGAAGTAGCAGAAAGAGAAATTAAGAATATCATCCCATTTACAATCGCAACAAAAAGAATAAAATACCTAGGAATAAACTTAACCAAAGAGGTGAAAGATCTGTACACCAAAAACTATAACACATTTCTGAAAGAAATCGAAGAAGACACAAAGAAATGGAAAGATATTCCGTGCTCTTGGATTGGAAGAATTAACATAGTTAAGATGTCCATACTTCCTAAAGCCATCTAT